GATACAAAGTAATCTAATAGCATTATCTTGAGGAATAAATTAAAGTTAGATATCCTAAACTCTACAGAAAGTGTTTCTAGAATTCTGCACCATAAAAATAGTACATTTTTGTTGTTGTCACTTATAATTCTGTGCACAATTTACAAATGAACTATGTGTAGAGCTATGTATGAACAATATACAAGCTGCACATGCCGAGTTACAGTGTTTCTGAATGTCCTCAGTTCTATGTTTGTAAAACTTCTGTTCTTCCAGCAATCCATTTAGAGTAGAAAGAAACTGGAAGCTTACAGTGCAGGGGGTGGAACAACCCATTGTACCAACAGGTCCTCTCTAAATTTGTTAGATATTTTAGGAAAGGGCTCTTAGTGTAATTGAAGAATATCCAGAGTATGAAGAGGTATGTGCTCATTTTCACTTGCTTCATGCTTAATACAGCTTTAAGTGTCTCTACTTAGAATAGCTTCATTTTCTTGCTTAATTAAAGGTTTAGATGGAGCTTGACTTCTCAACCATAATTATAATAATGTTAAGACATGCAGAGCTTCCAGTACAGAAGATAGTTTTAAATTATGCTACAATTCTTGTAATGTGGGAGGGAAGTACATGTTACATTTCTTTTTATCAAAGTCATCAGGTTATAATTTGGGCAGGTCTAATAGTCAGAGCTTGTGTAGTTGAGTCTTTCAGCTGTTTGCTCTGTCAGCATTTTTGAGGACTTTATGAGTTGGTTCCTACTCCTGAAACAAGCTAATAGTATGACTGGTGACGTCCTTAATGTAAGGTATTCTTTATGAAAAGACTTCAAACTTTAGCCAATTAGTGCTTATCAAGAAACTAAGAAGCCTTGCCTTTCAGCAAGGAAGTTCTTCTATTAGATCACTGCTGTGTGCTGAAACTCAACAGAAGAGTGTGTTTTGGAGAATGTGATCTTTGTTGGCGCGTCCTATATTCACTTCAGCTATTTTTCTGATAGAGCAGAAAAGCAGCATTGGTACCAGCATTCTTAAATCACTTTCCTTAAATCTGAAGTTGTTTTTTCTTTGTTACTATTTTTTCATCTTTCTGTCTTCCTCTTTCACGGCGTAGACTTGTGTCTAAGCTTCTCCTTCACCTTTGCTTTGCAGAATTGCTTGGTGATGTACTGAAAGATCAGCCGCAGGAAGCAGATGGAATTGACTCAGTAATAGTCGTGGATAATGTTCCCCAAGTTGGACCAGACCGACTTGAGAAACTGAAGAATGTCATCCATAAAATATTTTCCAAATTTGGGAAAATTATCAATGAATTTTATCCAGAAGCAGATGGGAAGACAAAGGGGTAAGTTATGATAACTCCTGCTGTATTCACGATGCTTTAGTTAGTCTTGAAAAATGTTTTTCTGATGCTTTGGGGAAAAGAAGTATTTGAAGACAGCTTCAGACATGGATTCAATATATTGTAAGTTTTAGCTGCTAGACTGTAAATTAGATTGTACTGGTGGCAAGGATAAAGCTGAATTACTTTTCAGTTAAGCTGAGAATAAGAGCTGTGCTTTGAGATATCTTCGAATGAGCAACAATAGCAAGATTTTCAATTTCTAGACATGATCTGTTATTCAGCTGGGGAGAGATGCCTACTTGCCCAGTACTACCTGTCCTTGCATTTCCTCTTCAGCTAAGAAGCATATATGTGCATAATGTCAAATTGGGAATTAATTGCTTTTGATCTTAACTACTCAGGGGCAAGAAGTTATTTACAGATGTTGTGTACTGAACTCAGGGTTCATTCCACTTGCTTCTTTTTTAGCATGAACCTGTTACATAGTTAACGCTGAATACACTTTCACATTCCTTTGCTGCAGGTACATCTTTCTGGAGTACATGTCTCCATCTCATGCCGTGGATGCTGTGAAGAATGCTGATGGATACAAGCTGGATAAGCAGCACACTTTCAGAGTCAACCTTTTCACAGACTTTGATAAGTGAGTGCAGTTATCATGTATCTTTATGGCTTTGTGGAGTGATTCTATTCAGGAGGATCTGCATCAAGTGTAACTAATCCAACTCTTGCAGGTACATGACAATCAGTGATGAATGGGAAATCCCTGAGAAACAGCCATTTAAGGATTTGGTAAGTTCTGTTGTGTGGTTTGTTTTTTTTTTTTTTT